CCTACCACAAGACTACCGTACGTATATTTCTCCTATTCGGACCCACTCCTCTGCCCCCAGGGGTGGCCACACGCACCGTTTATTTAAAATTAAGCTCCCTTTGCCTAAGAATGCTTCAGACTAAATTAGGATAAACTCCCTTAATCCTTACAATAGAAGAATGATTTTAAAAGTTTAACCTCTATTTTCCCTATTGGGCCCCGCACCTCTGCCCCCAGGGGGGCCACATCCACCGTTAATACAAAAGTGTGCCCCCTTGGCCCAAGGATGATTCAGACTAAATTAGGATTAAATCCATGTATACCTACGGTAGAAGAAAGGATTTTTAAAGGTTTACCTCTATTTCCCCTATTGGGCGCCTCTCTGTAAAGTAGCGTTTTAAAGGAAAAGAAAAGTTGACGGACGGACGGACATCGGACGACGGACGGACGGACGAACCGAACCCGGCCGCCTTTGTGAAAGGCGAGTACGTTACTGCGCCTCCCAACCAACAACAATGAACTCATATGCCGAGGCGGCGGCATATATTGTTTCCTTATCCACGTTATATATGCCATCGGAATATAAGCACACACGTTACAACAGACATAAGGAAGATATGTAATATTATCGAACTAATATACTTACCTTGAAATAGGTAGGTGTTTTATATCTTTTTAGACAAAGACAGCTAGCTCTGATGTCAATCACAACATGTCAACCATGGTATGTGAATAAATACAAACGAGAAACCGAAAGTACTTACATGAATTCATGAACAATTCTCGGAATAGATTTAATCTGGATAAATTTTGTGTTTCCTTAAAGATGCATTCCCCTTGATTTCCGGGAAAATTCCACTACAGTAAAATTATAAATAAGTATGGTTATTTTTTCAGGTATAAGAGACAGGTTGAGCTTTTTATAAATTTATATGTAGCATTTTCAACCTCTGGTAGATAATTCGATCCCTGTTCTACTGTATACATGGTTTAGAAAGTTATTTTTTTGTTCATTTTTTTGTNACCTGTGTATATGTGCAGTAAACTCGATTAATATGTATTTTACTTGTGTACATGTGCAGTAAACTCGATTACTATGTATTTTACCTGTGTATATGTGCAGTAAACTCGATTACTATGTATTTGACCTGTGTATATGTGCAGTAAACTCGATTAATATGTATTTTACTTGTGTACATGTGCAGTAAACTCGATTACTATGTATTTTACCTGTGTATATGTGCAGTAAACTCGATTACTATGTATTTGACCTGTGTATATGTGCAGTAAACTCGATTAATATGTATTTTACTTGTGTACATGTGCAGTAAACTCGATTACTATGTATTTTNACCCACTCAGTCTGTTAATTGTCCGGTTTCCATAAATTAAATGTCCGTAGAATGCTCAAAATATCAAAAAAAAATCAGAGCACATACCTGAGACGTCCATTCACCTGCCTGTCATGCGCAGTAACTCATGTGAGGGGAAGATTAGAATGGATATCACTTTCTACAACCCAATCGAAATATTTGGCGTAGGGGTCAAATTCTACTTACCGAGCAGGAACTATTTAAAAGTGGCCTCATTACACAGAAAGAGAAATATGGTCATAGTAATTCAAATATTTGCAAATTTTGGTGTGGTGGTAATATTATATTACGGGAGGGACATATTTAATGTAGGGTAACATTCTATAACGGGAGGGACAGATGTGGTGTAGGGTCACTTTCTATAACGGGAGGGACATATTTGGTGTTGGGGTAAAATTCTATAACGGGAGGGACATATTTGGTGTTGGGAAACATTCTATAACGGGAGGGACATATTTGGTGTTGGGGTAAAATTCTATAACGGGAGGGACATATTTGGTGTTGGGAAACATTCTATAACGGGAGGGACATATTTGGTGTTGGGAAACATTCTATAACGGGAGGGACAGATGTGGTGTTGGGTAACATTCTATAACGGGGGAGACCTATACGGTGTGTGGTAACATTTTACAACGAGAGGGACATATTTGGTGTTGGGTAACATTGTATAACAGGAAAGACAGATTTGGTGTTGGGTAACATTGTATAACAGGATAGACAGTGGCAGATTTGGTGTGAGGTAACATTATTTAAAGGGAGGGACATGTTTGAATGAGGGTAATATTCTACAAGGGGAGGGACAGATTTGGTGTGTGGTAACATTTTACAACGAGAGGGACATATTTGGTGTGGAGTAACATTATTTATGTGTGGTAACATTGTATAACAGGATAGACAGATTTGGTGCTGGGTAACCTTGTATAACAGAAAGACAGATTTGGTATTGGGTAAAATTGTATACCAAGAGGGACAGGTTTGGTAAGGGGTAACATTCTTTAAAGGGAGTGATAGGTTTGATGTAGGGTAATATTCTATAAGGGGAGGGACAGATTTGGTGGTGGTTACATTATATAACGGAAGGGACCGATTTGGTGGGAGTTACAATGTACATTCTTTGACGGGAGGGACAGGTTTGGTGTAGAGTAACATTCTATAACGAGAGGGACAGAGTATGTGTAGGGTAACATTTTATAACAGGAGGGACGGATTTGGTATGGGGTTACATTCCAAATGGAAGGGAAAGGTTGGTGAGTGGTAACATTTTATAACTGGAGAGACATGTTTAGTAAAGGGTAACATTCTATAACGGGAGGGACACATTTTTTGGGGGGTTACATTTTATAGCGGGAGTGAGAGATTTGATGTTGGGTAACATTCTATAACGGGAGGGGCAGGTTTGGTGTATGGTAACATTCTATAACGGGAGGTACTGATTTGGTTTAGGGTAACAGTCTATAACGGAAGGGACAGCTTTGGGGTAGGATAACATTTTATAGCAGGAGTGACAGATTTGGTGTTAACATTTTATATAATAATAATAATAATAATATACAGCATTTGATATAGCGCCCTATCTAGCTAACATAAGCCACTCTAAAGCGCTTTACAGTACATATATATACAAGTAATACAATTAGCACATACATTAATCAATACAATTTTGAGAAATTTGCAGGAGCTGCTTTATCAGGCGCTTACTACTAGCCATATGCCACCTGGCTAATATCTACCCATATGTATGTGTGTATGCCTGCATGTGTGCTGGAGATGTAATGTGTTGTGTTTGTAGTGGGACCGTGAGGGACGGGAGGGACAGATTTATTAAAGTGGTATCATTCTTTATTATATAATACAGGCTGTTTCCGTGTAATAAAAATCCGTTCAATAAAAACGATATAACACACGTACAATAAACATGGAAATGCATCTTGTCACTGTGGGAATCATGTAATATTCCTATGCCCTACAACTTCTGTTTGTTAGCAAAATGGCTAACCTATATATACCTAGTTACCGAAGAAAATGTTTGCTTTTGGGCCATCGAAATATTTTATCAATAAACAACAGCTCTAACATGAACACGAATCAACACAAGGAGATCTAAGCGAGGAAGCGCGTGGGTGAAATAAATGTGTAGTTAAAATATGTGAAGTGACATTCACATTACGTGAATTTATATGGATTTTCCTCATCTTCTGTCATATTTTCCATCTTTTGCCAGCTTTCTAACCTGGGATTATCTGGAGGATCATCTGTTGAACAGACCAGCCGACACACGAGACAGATCTGAACATAACCGGGTAATTTGGGTGTGATACAGCGGCGGTACGACACATCCTAAGATAGCCAGCGGTTTATTGTCATAGAGGACGACTTACACTGAAGTCGATGATCGATTGAGGACGACATATCCTAAGATAGCAATCGGTTTCTTTGCATAGAGGAGGACTTACACTGAAGTCGATGGTCTATTGTGTAAGACCACCCAATTTGTCTACAGTGCCAGTAGATTGGGCCACCCTTCTAGATGGTGGACGTGTGTAAACACTTGCATGTTTTGACGCTGTCCAATGGGATAGCCAACCCTAACTCATGGCTGGTGTGAGGTAGACTTTGTTCTAGTTCCAGAGGAGTTTAGGATAGTTAACAGAAGAGGATCTGGATTTGACAGAACATTTCCTTTAGACTGTATTTATTTGTGTGTTGTGAGTGTGAGTGAGTATATATTATATTAATCTGTGTTGTACGTTATCTTTATATATAGTGTAAATAAATATGTATATACTGTATAGATTGTACTATTGTATTGTCAGTGCCGGGTAAGGCTGCGTCGCTTGTCCCACAGTTACATATAGTACATAAAAAATCACACTGCAATGTAAAGATTTAACGCTGCCAAGCTCTATAATGCATAATGCTCTCGATTTTAGCTAAATCATGGCTTTGGAATATATAGAAGACTAGGCAGCTGGCAAAAAGAACAATCCCATTAAAATGCAAAGACGTCGTATTTGTTAAAAAATGCCATCCGGATTAAATTCTACGAAAACATAAAAGACCTAAATTGACATCAGTTATGTCACTAAACTGTATTTAACTAGATATTACGTCGTTTAGATGTCATCATTACGTGAGATATATCAGAATGTATCTCTCAGGGAGGATTGGGTTATCATAAACATTAACATGTTAATTATAAATGGCTTTACGAGATATTTTGCGACATTATGGATGGCAGGAATATGTCACCATATAATGGGAGGAGGAAATTAACAACTACGTTAAGTAAGAGCAAACGAAATTAATTTCACTTCAATATAATTTAATATCCAAAGTAAGTAAAACCATTATTCACATAATCCTAGCACTCCTTCTCACACTCGCCGGATATCCGTTACACTGCCAAACACTGTAACTGAGTTCAGGAAAGTGTTTTTCCGACAAGAGTATAGCTTTAATCAAATATTGCCGATAAGAAATCCATGCCTTGCGGGACTCTAATGTTAAGTCATTAAGATGAAATAAAACAAAATTAATCAACAACAGTTGTTCGGAGTATAAAAATTAGCAGGGCCAGACCGGGATTCGAACCCTTGACTTCAGATTATTATACTATCGCACTAACCGTATTTTTTCCTTGTCAACGAAAGTCTTTTGTCCGAATTGTGCTTCAGTTACATGCATAAACATACGGAACCTAAGGGGAGGTTACTGTTATAGTAAAATATACAGAACAGTTCGACAGGGATCCTTAAAAGAAGTCACATTAAAGGATCACTGTCCCGTTACAGACGAAATACTAAAAAAATCCATCGTTTTTTTATACCAAGTAAAACCTCCATTTAATTTCAGTTTTGTATATAACTGAAGTTGCTAGGACTTAACAAGAGACCATCAGCTGGTCAGAAAGCTCGGTTACCCAGAGCCTATGTACTGTGATGGGAGTTCCAGGGTCTGGGTCCCAAGTAGGATTCGGTTGGTCTGTTAGAATATTCTTAGAACACGTTTATTGATTACAATTTTTATTTCATTGAATACAATTTAAAGCAAAGTTGCCCGAGGCATAAGTTTCTTTTCAGAAATGAATTTATAATTTTGTCATGTTAAAAACGTGTTTAGATGAGCAGTTACAGTTTTAAGCAGTGGTACGGGATCCTTAAACCATGTAGATAAGTATTAATATAGTACAGGTGTGGGTTTTATTCCAGAATAATAGTACACACACAAATATACACAATCACACAGTTGGCAGTAATAGTCTAAGGTCATAGCGTTAAAGTATAGCAATATGGAAAAGTATCTAGTACGCTGTTATCTATATATTGAACACTGACTAAACATCGAACCATAACAATATATTATTGCGGTATTGTCGATATAATTAACATTATACCTTAATTAGTTTCATTTATCATAAAACTTTATACTTCTAAAAGAACATTCATTACATTAAATCTGGACGGCTTAACGGCGGACGGAATGCAGATCGACATCTAATCGATAAGCAATGCGATAAGGTCACCTATATGCTATGCAAATATAAATGGCATTTTCGTGAATGAGTCATAGCATGCATAAGTCATCTGATAACGTTATACGGTCAAAGGGCTGATCAGTCTTCACAGCCAACTTTAGGACTTTTCACGGTCAGGGGACAGAAACCATAACTCCCACGCTTTGGCGGACTCGCAACAACAAGGTCAAAAGCGAGGTATTGCACGTGTGGGATGATTTGTGAGGGCTATTAACCTGGCTTAATTATCTAAGATGGAGAAAACTATTATATTTCTTTGTGGATCGTTACAGGTTACAAAAGCCTGGTGTAGCCCACGGGAGAATGTGTACGATCACGCGAGACATTTTTTGAATTTCTGACAGTGATGTATACTGTTGTAACATATCTATATATTTCTGGAAAAAATACTCATCCTTATCTGGTTGTATGTCCAGTTTGCCATGCAAAACCTGAATTGAATAATGCTGGAACAAAGACTATCAAAGCTGAACAATGACGTCACGTTAACATAGCATTATATAGCACTAAATATTTCAATCCCACTCTTGGTTCAATTCACCGATTTGATCTATGGGTATAAACCAATAAGTTACTATCAAAAAGACATGGTTTAAAGCGACTGTTCACTAGATTCCGGCAAAAAAGGCCTACAATCACCATTATACATTAAGCAAGAAGATAATCATCTCATTGTGCACATAAATGAAAAAATAAAGGGTTGTACACGACGTCTAGGCAAAGAGCCTAATATGCAACCGTGAAGAGGTGAGTTTTTATGTCCTTCTTGTATCTATAAAATATAAAAAAAATTCAATCCAATTTTGTTTATACAACATATAGTTTAGGGCTGCAACGATTAATGGAATTGTTTCATAACGGGATATTTTCTCGAGTATCGAATCAGAAGGTTTCGTTTGCCTTTATCGAGATATCGAGACACACTAACAGTAATGAATTCATCAACCAGCCCTTGTTATTAATTTCTAAAAGTTGTTATTATTGCTTTGGAATCCTTCAGTAAAGATTTGGTCCACTGTGAAGTCATAACAACAAATACTAGAAAACTTTTAAAATATCTTTTGATAATAGCTACCATTTTCAAAATTGCACACTATCCTTTAAAAATCGACTTTTAAAGCAGATACCTTGATACGTATTGTATCGTAAGCATCGTACATCGTACTGCGATTCGTACCGTATCGCATCGTGAGGTATCAATCGTTTCATTTCTATATCCATATACATTGAGCTTTAATTTAAAAAAATATGTAAACGTTAAACAAATGGTAGTGTTTAACACAATTATTTCCCCATATATAGAGTATTAAACTTTACTTTAGAAAAAACAACTTTAGACTTAAATTTTAGGAGAGGCATTGTATGCTACTGTACAAAAGCAGAATGCCTTGAGATACCTTTTATGCATACAGGCGGACTGTGTACCGTAGGGATTAGTTCGGGAAACATCACCCAGTATCTTCAATACACCCTTGTCAGTCTGCCTCACCGTACTCTCGAATGTCGCGTTCCCGGGGACGGTTCTTATCACGATCAGATATGTTTGGTCATTCTTTTGTTCGGGAGTCAATATCCAACTAAGCAAAGTGAACTTGGTTTCTTTATCAACTTTCCTTTCGAGACTATTTTCGATAGACCTTGCTTCTATAATCGTATATAAGGACAACTTAGCACACTTATCGCGTACCGGAAGTAGAATTTCATTAATAGATTGTAGTAGAAAGTTTGCAATTGTTTTTACAATTGGTGCTGATTTATCAATAGGATGCGATGCGTAACATGCACAATAAGTCTCAGGAATCTTTGCATCTGCACACGACTGCGTTTCAGGGAGGCGTTTGAAGATGCTAATAGACTGCGGCGCCAGGTCATTGCCTCTGACGTCACTCGCCCGACCACCATACCTTTTATGTAATACGTCTCGAAGTGCCTCGTGTATATTGAATACCGTTGTAAGTTTTTTCTCATTTGCTTTTAAGTTTTCAACAATCTCTGGATATCTCTTTTTTAACACTTCCGGTAGCACTATTGATATAAACGGCATCCTATCTTCGATTCGCCCTACATATGTGTTTCGTATTTCATCCTGTCTTGATCCGTGATCGCTGTAGAAAACAAGAACGGATTTGTTCATATGTCCCTCCATATGCAGCCATTTCAGCAGCTCCATGAAATCGTTATCTCCGTATTCTAGAAAATTTACGTAATTATGCGCCAGCTCATTGAGCCAAGCAAATGCAAATTTTCGCTTTCCTTTGTATGCATGCACGAATTTCTTGAAGTAATCAACGACTAACATGTGGTTTGGCCGGTTTCCGTAACACATTCCTGAGGACGTCTTCATCTTCATCGCCTTCGATTCAAAAAACATAAACACCTGATCTATCATATATTGCATTGGCTGAATCTTCCGCATCGCCAACCATAAAGGTCTGCTGTAATGGGTCGTAGGCGGTTTAGAAAATCCTGCCGGTACCGAATGATCAAATGTGGCTATCTCGGGCCAGTCCTCGCTATGCATTGTGACATATCCTTGTTTCTCAAACTCATACCAGATAAAGGGGTAGCTGTCAGAAAATGCCTTTTGGTAATCGACTTTAGATTGTTCCACGGATTTCCCACATAGTAAAGGTACTAGATTAGGGAACGTGTTATCACCAACCTTGTTGTAGCCTTTCAGAACATGCCCTCCGAGGGTTTCTGTTAAATATTTCACAGTTTTCGGAAGTTTCCGAATAGCTCCTAAACGCGAAACAGAATCTATTCCAAACATAAATACACTGAGATCTTCATCTGTTTCCTCTTTTATCACTCTTGTTTTTTCTTTTGATTTTCGGTCTATTTTCTGATGAAGGTTTTCATAGACCACTTTTCCGGACGGATTTCGACACCGTACTATAAAGCAATCTGCTGGCACGTCAACGGGACCTGAGAAAGCTATTTCAGTTTCAAAGTTGACCTTGAAATCGGTCACAAGGTTAATCGTGCTGTACACACACTTTAATGTGGCATTCTGTGACGGCTTATATATACTGTCGTTAAATCTTAAGTATCCAGATTTGTCCACCAAGGTGAGCGACGGGGTGGGGTCGCACTCGAGCGGTTGAGGATGCCAGCTATAGTATTTGTTAATAGTAGGGTCATTTATGTCAATATCAGGTAAGATGCATTCACTATGAATATCCTTATGAATAAACACGTACTCTGGCGTTTTCATATAAGTGATGTATCCATATACCATACATGCTACAACTATCAACATGAAGAGCACTAGACATGATTTAGTACATCTTCTTTTAATCAAGTATAAATAACGAAAAACTGAGGGCAACATCTTTGTAATGTTTCTAAAGAAACCCATTTCTCTGTATCAAACAAAAACACGTTTTTAGAAACTCGGGCATATGCACGACCATCCTTTATGTTTACTCCACAGCTATAAATATCACCTGGTACACTCTCTATAGCATTTCAAAAAAGAATCAACATCCGATTGATACACGAAACTGACCATTTCTCAAATATTCCGCTTTCTGATTTCTGCCATATGTCTATCTGTCGAAATCCATCTTCGAGCATCGGCGGCCTCTGTTACATGACCACTAACTGCAACAATAAAAAATAAAGGGAACTAGAATAATTCGTGTATATTTATAAGTCAAGGGCGTAACCCGAACAGTGAAGAGAGTAGCAGGTTGTCTTTTTGAAGAGCATTTCGCTCCTTCACAAAACACTAGCATTGCATAAAAACAAAAAAAGAAATATATTAGAATATTACTAATATTTAAAAAAGAAGCATCTAGTCTAGTTTAACACACTAACCGAACTGTTGCCCAATGACACTGTATAGAACATAGCGGGTTAACTAAAGCGTGAAGAAAGATGCTGAATATATACATGCATTTAATATAAGACACCATGCTGTATGACTATGTACAGCATACTTCCGTTATATTTCATATGGTGATGTTTATATATCTGCGACTAATAATGAATGTTTAATTTAAATTTTAACCTATGTTGGTAAATTGTGGGATCCAAACGAATATTTGTGTAAGAATATAAAGATGATATTCATTATTCATACGTGCATAATACGTGCGGTGTTTACAGTATATTTTCTTTCTCATTTTTTAAGTGAATTGTGATATCCAAGCAATTACACGTGCAAGTGAATATGGCAAAAATAATATCATGTCGTAATACGACTGCAGTGTAAATGTTTATATAACAGTGGTGAAAGTTCAGGACTTAAATAAATAGAACAATCAAATTATCAAAAATCTAGAAAATTAATGGATTGATGTACACTAGTTATATCATGATGCGATAATACAGAAGGTATTTGGATATGTAATACTTGTTTTGTTATTACATAGACTGTATACCTATATGTATCACTATATAGGAATAACTAAATACGAATCACAAATTACATTGCTATTTCTTTAAAGTTATATTGTAAAATAAGCAAACAGGGTCCTGGTTAATGCAGACTAAACAAAAGCCTGATGAAAGATGAGGATTTCGTTTTACTAGTTCAGTTTTTCATAGATGTAAAGCAGAGTGTGATGATACAAATTTAATCAACAGAAAAAAACTTGGATTTAATACAGTTATGCTAAGCAGTGTGTAAATTACAACTCTCGAACACGCAGGAAATGAAAAGGCGAAGATAATCAGTTAGAAGAGAAATCTTCTTCTCTTTATGAAGAAAATAGCATATCACAATGTCCTGTAAAAGAAAATTTACACTAAGTTTGTAGATATAGAAAAGAGGTTGGAGAAGTTCTACGAAACCAAAACTGAGGGGGAAAGAGTTAGTTCAAGGTCACAATATATCTTAAAAGCAGAAAGGCCAAACATTTAGTTTTCTTGGGCTAAAAAGCCCAGAGGCAGTGTGAATAAGTCATTAATTGCTATATCAGAGTTGGAACGTTTTAGTACTTCGAGTTAAGATTTAATAATAACAAGCGTGAAGTAATTCCGCTTGGAAGAAATAGGCAAAGGAAGATACAATGGACATGATAATGTTATGTTAATGTAACAAGACGTCCAATGTGGAGAATTTCTTTTTAGCGTAATCGAGGTGTCTTTCTTTGAACACTAAATCAAAATAAACACACGGAAACATTTGAAGGTTACTTCCGACGGGAGAAAGAGGTATGGCGGAAAACTGCCCGTATTTCCCTAAGTCGGCATTTATGAAAACAAGAAAACAAATTAAGAAATAAAACATTTCGTGAATCAAAAATGCATACAAAAGATATAGAACCAATTGAATATGAATTTTTAAACTGCTGAGAAATTCGGTATTGCTAATATAATACTGCAAATATACACTATATCTATGAAGTGATGGGGTTTCCCGGACTTAAAAAATACTTTCAACACTTTCCCATCTTTGGACCAACTTTTGAATAAATTTTTTGTGACCGTGATGTAATATGCAAAAACAAATCGTATTACGGAAAAGTGGTCCTCCTTTGGGAAAGTGCTCAAATAATGAAAAACAGGGTTGATCAAGTTTCTTTATACTGCGACAGGTGTTTCTCGGGTTAAATCCAGTTTGTAATTGCCAATATCGATATGTTCTATGTAGCCGAATGTGTAACGCAGTTTACTTGTGACTAAAAATTAAACGGTGCAGGTTCGAATCCTCCCTCAGTTTTTTTTTATTTAAATATTTAGGCATGTGATCATTTTCCTTAATAAAGCAATATTTTGTTTTTCAAATCGATGGAGAATTTTGTTTACATTTTAATAACATACCTATTGATTTATCAGTTTTGTTAGTAATAATTTCGTTACTATTTAGTGCGACATGCGGATTATCGCCCGAGATCGGATACTTTCTCAGAACTCATTCTGAATGCTACCGATTTACCGAACGCAGGTAGTAGTGATGAAAATTAAATCCGTTCAAAACTGTTTCGTATAGATTGGACGATCTTGTATTACATATAAGCGTATAATTTGTTATAAATCAATATAAAAAACGTGAAATAAGCATTGCGTTGAGCCTTTATCGTTAAACGCATGTATTAATACCCATGGCCTTAAATTCGTCTGTTTACAATAATCTATTCTTAGACACAGGATTCCGATATAGCTACGTATACCTGTATAAAAATACCCGAGGACGCGTCATAACAGTGCACGGTTGGATGCGCGCACTAGCGTAACATAACTTTGGGGAAATAGGCATACCAACCCGCCATACCTCTTTGTTAAAAACATTATTGTTCTGAGTTTTTAAAATACAGTTTTCTAGTTTTTTGTTTCTATTAGTAGATTGTGTACATGTATATGACAGTCATTCGTAACAGTTTTCTACCGATATGAGTACGAAATCGCGGCTGCTTCTTAAGTGAGCGGAAACAGATAACACGAGGATTGCAGTGTTCCGTCATTATTTATGCTATCGCTTAAAAGTGTATATGAAACCTTTCTATCAAATTAATATTTTCAAATCCCCAGAATCCTGCAGAGTGTAAAAATATTGTAGACACTGATTACGAAACCAATTAGTAAAGCTATATTTCTAATGTTTGAGCCTATTCAGTGTGCCGTTCTCTTGCTTTTGTTAAGCCGCCATTGTAGTTGAAAGTAACACCTAAGTATGTAAAATTATCCCGTATTTCAAGTTCGCTACCACCAAACGACAACCTATACTGTTTAGTACTTGTTCTTTTCGACAATATCATATTTTTAGTTTTCTGTGTGTTTACTGTTAATTTCCACTTTGTACAATAGGCCTAAAGTTCAAAAGCATTCAATGCAGATTGTAGCCCTTGTGGTGTTCCGACAGAGGAGCGGTGTCATCTGCATACAGTAAAATAAATAATCGCACATACATTCCAATTGATTCAAGACATAGTCAACAGTGTGTAACCAATTCCTATCATTTTCCATAAAAAGTCTTTCAAGTCAAATGCCCCCCTGTTTTAAACCGATATTACTCATGAATCTATCTGATTGTTACCAGACATTTTTACGCATGACTTTGAAAGTACAGACTTTATATTAATTACTTTAGAAATTGCCCCATTAATGCGACTCTTTTGTAGTTTTTCCATAATCCAGCTCTCCTCATAGAATCGATTGCATTGGAAAATTTACAACAACCCCCCCCCCCCCCCCCCCAAACACCTGGCAGAACAAGGTCGAAAAGCACTATTTGCCATAAAAATGTATGTAAAAAGGATTATTTTAATATATAATCTCATATTGCTGTCTTTGACACGTTTGTCAATAGTATGTTAATGTACGGTTCAGAAATGTGGGGATTTCATAAAGCACCCGAAATAGAAAAATTGCATATTGAATTTTAGAAATCATTATTAGGATTAGGAAAATCTACAAACTCTGCATTTCTTTATATTGAATTTGGAAGATCTCATCTAGAGCTGTTAAAAAGTTAAAAAATTTAAGTATTGGATTAAATTACAACGTTTTGATAAATGTGTGCTGAAAGCTTGTTATGATGATATGGTTGAAAATAAAGACCCCTGGATCCTTAACTTAAAACATGATCTTTCAAGCGTCGCCCTTGGATACATGTTTGTGACTGATAGTATTACTAATTCTAGTGAAGTATATAAGCAGCGATTATGTGATAGTTTTCGTCAAGATTGTCTAGAGAAAGTTCATTCTTCTTCTAAAGGAATAATATATCAGCATTCAGTGGACAGTATTAAATTGCAACCATATCTTCATAAGGCAATTGATTTAAATTATCTAAAACATATTTCTAAGATGTGTTCATGTGTTCGTGGCCTGTTCATTGAACGTGGCCGTTACAGAGATATACCTAGAGAAGAAAGAAAATGTATTTTATGTAATGAAAATGATATAGAAGATGAATTTCATTGTATAATTAAATGTAATCGCTATTCAGACCTCCGGTCTAAATTTATAAAGCAATATTATTTCAAAAGGCCTAGTATGTTTAAATTCGTTCAATTACTCAAAATCGATAACACAAAAGAACTTAATAATTTAAGAAAGTATTTATCACTAGCGTTTAAACGTAGAGCAGATTTATTAACAGGTCATTACTAGAACAGGTCATGTTGTTAATATACATGTTGTATATCAGTTTATTGAATACAAATTATATAATATACCATTATATTGTCTTGTCTGGGTGAATGAGAGTGAAACAGGTTCTGGCGTGTGTATGAATGTGAGTATGATGATGTAGTGTGAGTGTCATTGATGATGATGAAGATGGTGTGTGCGAGTCTTTGTGAGTGTGTCCTTGTGAGTGTCTTTGTCTTATCTGTAATTGCCATAAGTTGTAAAACTTCAGCAAATAAAGAACTTGAACTTGACCCATATGCCTTATTATTAGTGAGGCTTATCGCTTCTTTTCCACCTCCTCCCCCTCCTCTACAATCTCTCCGTCTAAAATAACATCATATTCCATCAAATTATTTTCTATATCAAATCGGTCCTCTACATCACCAGTGTTAATATTTTTGAAATACTCCTAGGCCTATAGCTTTTCTATATCTATATCTGTTCATCAACTATTTGGTTTTCCAAAAGGCTTTCGTATCAGTCCTTGCTACGTTTCTTATTTCTTTTTCCATATTTTCATGATGTATTTTATAATTTTTGTTTATTGTCGATATTCTTTACTTATTTTCTTCAACCTTTTTTTATTCCAAACAGTTTTGCTATACATATACTCGTTTTTTACTTTATGAGATTCTTTCCTTTTTTTTAATTCACTCATTTGTGAACCACGGATTTCGTATTTAGTATATGTCTACTTGGCCTGTTTTTTTGTTTCAGTTTATTTACCTATTTCCTTACCCAAAACACCGTTTTAGCAGAATTTTAAACACATTGGATAATTCTTTAACAACTTAGCAATTTGAACATTTTCACAGGGTGATTCTAAAAATATATTCAGTAACTCATCACTGTTTTCTAACCTTCCGTATACAATGTGCTGAATAACATGTACAAACTCATCTTTTTTTCTATTTTAAACTTTCCAATATATTCTATATCTTTTTTTTTACCTTTGTCCTTGGCGGGAGTAACATCAACTTCTAATTCTACTATGCGTATCAGAAAATAACGGATCATTTTCGACTATTTCAGAGCTTCTAAAATCATATAGTCCACGAGACTGGCCCATTTACATGTTGTCTCCCCAACATTTACATCTTTACACCAAGCTTTACACATTTTAATTAAGCGATATCCAGAACTGTTCATTCTAGCTGTATCCTTACTGTACCTTTTAAGCGGTATTCCATGTCTTGGAGGTTTTCATAAACATAAGTTAATACAGTTAATCTTTTCACTCAAATTTAGACATCCAATAAAACTTTCATCCGAGATAACATTATCCTGCTTACATTGTGTTTTATCATTAAAACCTCCAATTAAAGCCACATTTTTATCATTTTGTACTTAACAAGTAATTTCATCCTCAATCTCATCGAATGCTTCAGGCGTAACTTATCGTCAGACCCCTGGTGGGATGTAAACACACCCTATAAGCAAGTTTCAAGCTTTCAAGTTTTATTTTTTACACTCATGACACACAAGGTGTGTTACAAGAGGTCAACATCTTAATACATTTCAATTACATAGCAAAGTGAGTACAGATGTTTTATACAACATGTAAATATATAATACTACAGAATAATAGCACTGCATTTGTCTTATGTCAATTAAAGCCTTAATTGTTTTTTCTCTAGAAAATGACTTATTTTAGGTTAAACATTTAAATTACAAATAGAAATCATTCCTTTTAGCTTAAAATTGCTGTTATTAGCAGAGTAGCGTCAGTTAACACGCCACTTAATTCCACCCATTTCACATATTCAGATTTTGTTTTTCTAACTATTAAACATGGTTTCAGAGATTCATTGTAAATTGTGATAATACCAACAGATGTTTTAATGAATTTGTGTCTGTGTTTTGCACGGTAGATATATCCTTCTGGCAACACGAGCAGAGTATATAAATTGATAAGGTCATGGTTATGTGTCCCGGACCCAGGACAGACAAAGTTTTAGGTCTTGATTTGAGATATAAGCGGGGTTGTCAATTCAATAGAATTATACACTGTACTTTAAAATATTGCTACATGTTATCTCTCAAAACAAACAAAAGATACCGATATCTATATTGTGTAGATCTTAATGCTGAGAGACACAATGCCCTACCTTCGTACGCATTAATGACCCGATAACGTCCTGTGTCTCGTAGCTTTGTTTAAGGACTTCATCACGAACACACGTGTGTGTTGCTAGCTAAATTTACTTCATGAAGTATCTTTGAAATAGACAATGTTTTTAGGTCATAACATGTTCTTTTATATTTGAGATCAAATAGCAGTTTCATTGAAATTTTTAGCGAACAATAATGTTTGAAATTACATGTAATTACTGTAGTATTAGATACGGTTGATTTGAACTTCTGTTCAGACAAAAACACATATAATTTTAATCTAATATATACTACAGGAATATTTTCAATTATCATCAAGCAAAGAATTAAGTATACGGAACTTACTTCAGCACACAATTATAGGTACTTGGTGTGATTATCATCCTACAGAACATGTCAGGGAATGGGACGGTAAACGACAATATATGATCAGATCGCGTCTGTTGCGACATGTTTTCTCATCCGGGTGAGCAATCGTGCTAGACGTGAACTATTTTGGTATATCCCCTTCAATTAATATCTTCGTGTACAACTACATGTATCAGATATACATGATATGGAGGAACATGTTTAAATATAAAATGGATTTCCTCCAGTAAACCTACCTTCTCAGTCCAATAGCCCCATGTAAAGTCACAAAGTATGATGAGAGGTATGTCGTAGTAAAACTACACAATAATATCCCCTTACAGCACTGGATAACGTATTATAACGGTGAAACAGGTAACGATAATTTAAATATGGCGTTATCGTTCAACTGCTTACCACAAACAGTGCACAGAATGGCGACAACGGTATGTGTGAATGGACACACAGTCGGCTGTTATCAGTAAAGACAGCCGTTCGGTATCTGCTCTATTTGAACATGTCTAGCCAGGCAAATATGTAACAGTAGATTTCGCGGTGTGTTCTCCTTTCTCCCACTTTTTAAAAAAACAATAGAGGCAGTAATGTTGTGATAGCAGTTATAGTCTGTTTCATATATATTTTACCTGGTTTATACCTGTGTTCTCCCACATTACCTGTATCATATATACAGTAATGTCATATACATGTAGCTTTGATATAGTCTATTTACATCATTTTTAGCCATTTTTTTCATATCATATATACAATTTTCATCAGCTAGATCTATACAAAATACATAATGCTTTGATTAATTTAAACTTAAATTTAAATTGATTTGATTTAGGTTGAAGCAAATTCATATTGGAGCATTATTTTCAGAGAATGTTTTTTACCAATAAATGCGTCTTCAGTGTAATTATTAATAACTTAGTATCACTCATTAGATTATTTTCCCCTAAAACATAATCATTAGTTATGTTTCTATTTGATAACCCCGTATGGCTTGGGTCCACTGATATTTCTAGTTGATAAAAATGAATCTAAATGATGACCGTTTGCAGATCTAGAGCGATTAATCACTATTAATAGAAATTCATTTTCTGTCCGGTAATAAAAAGTGGATACATTTCATAACCTAAATGTTCGTCACTTAATTGATACTGTGGTGATTAAACAAGTGAGATTGTCCAAGCTGTATGTATTGTAAGTATATAAGGAAGTGGAGGGTGAGGTCTCACACATTCCCCATCAACCACCAACATTGCAAATGCACACATTCAAGTGACGTTTCTTCGGAACAAATTTGGAAGACAGAACATCGCCTACAACGGATACATTTACTGTGTTAAGAACAACAGAGGTGAGCGTGTATATTGGAGATGTACCATCCCCAATCGTCCAGCTACCCTTAGTACCCGAAACAACATCCCTACTGGAAACGGCCGCCATCCCCACAACCACACACATGACCATGCTAAGATCGTCGCCCAGGAGATTATGGAGACCATTCGTACCCGCTGCGTGAAGGAAGTGAAACCAATTCCCAGAATCTACGAGGAGGAGGAGGTAACCAAGCTTCGATCCGATGATTGGAACGACGACACAGAAAACACGGTCAGACAACTACCCACCGTCAGTCCAGGAAATACAAGTCAGCAACGAGATAACGCGCATCCAACACGAAGGAGGACAACTGAGACCAAGAGCAAAATGCTACCGTAACATCAACAGCCGTCTTATAATTAACTGACTAAAGGAACGCTTGGAGAATGGTACAATAGATGTAATCCACTACGCCGACACAGCATCCCATCTTTTGCATTTAAAGTGACATTGTGATAAATGTGCTTGTTATGAAATTTTTATTTGGTGCTTTGCTAGGATTTCTTAAAATTATGGACTTTTCATTATCTGTGCTTTTTATGGACTTTCCAATAATTCACGTATAGTAAGTTAGTGCTATTATATTAGTTTCATATCATGTATCTTTGTGCATGTGTGCATTTTATGAATATGATTGATTTGATTAACCAGTGATAAGTATTCCATGTGTACATGTACTTAATTCGTTTTATATATTTTCATTCCCAGCTATGCATCTGTTTTTGCATATTTGATAATGTAATACATGATCTCTGTCTTTACTGATTATATTTGTCATAAATTGCTTGCTAAATTTAGTTCTATTTTATGAAATATATATATAACATACATGCATGTACATGTATGTAAATGTATAGTAAAAATGTATAGTAAAAATGTACAAAAATTGATTTAATATGAAATTTATAAAAGCAGGTTTTCAGTTAATGTATTTTGATGTGTTTTTATTAAGTAATAACTGGAATCTTGTATATATTTATTCATAATTCCAGTAAATATAAAAATCAGGAAATATATCTGTTAAATATTCTTATAACTAACACAATATTTCCTATTAGTGAACAGGTAAATACAGGTAAATAATCTACCTGTGCTATACCAAGATTTCAAGATTTCAAGAATTTTTTATTACGCTCTGACACACAAAGTGTGTAACAAGAGGTCAAACAAAATAACATCAATTAAAATAAAACATGACAGAGAGAGTAGATTACACATGGACAGATTAAGCATTATTTCATAGACAGATTCAGCATTATTTCATAGACAGATTCAGCAATATTTCATAGATAGATTCAGCAATATTTCTTAGATAGATTCAGCAATATTTCATAGATAGATTCAGCA